TTCGCCGAAGTAAATTTGTGAATTCTAGGAGTGTAATGAAATTGCTGTTTAGTGTTTATGTGGACTAATGTTTTTGTAACAACTGTGACTAGACGTCTTTTGGTAGGTGCCTACAAAAATACTGCGCGGGTGAACCGTTTTCTCATCTTTGTAGCGTCAATTTTCGTAACTATTAGAGTATGCTTTACAGAAGTGATTGTCTCTTCCGTTTCAACTTGTTCGACTTGATTAAAGTTTTATCTGGCTGAATAAACTTTTGGAGCTTGAAACTCTATGTTCGTTTCGATCGTATCATATAAAGTGCTGGTTGGTTACATGCCTCTAGAAGAAGAGCAATTGAAATTTAGTATCTAAACTGCTCTAGTTTATTTTTGCACATCATATTTTATATATCAAGATTATTTTTACTTTCTATTTCAGTCGTTAGTTTAATGATACTGTGTGTATGTTTTTGGCTTAAATTTTATGCGTTGATCTTATTCGTTATCAGAGTAAAATGAAAAATTAGAGGACCGTCAGGTTTCATCTTAAGGTATGATTTCAGTAAAGATGAAATTATCAGAGTTAAACGTTGACAATGGCCAATCATTCAACTTTTCGAATTGCGCGAGAAATATGGCACTTGAATCGATGGGAGCTAAACCTCCAGTTTTACGCAGTACGGGCACGACTATTGTTGCCGTTACTTACAAGGTCTTTATTTTTAACCTTGTGCGATATTTAGGCGCCATTAACCTGTTTTCTCAGTGTCATGTAGAAACTAAACTTTAGGAAGCCATAAATCTTATTTGGTCTTAAAGTTGAATAGGAAGCAAAGTCTTTTCTGGAGCTTTCAGTAGAATTGTAAGGTTTTATTTGGACTTAATCTCATTCCTTGAGCTATTTCTTTTAGTCGGAAAAGCACTTATTACTAGTTATTTGCAATATCAGGAATGTAATTGTGCTTGTTTCGTGTACCTCCATCTAAAATTTCTAAATATTTATATTTTGGGATGGTTTGGTAATGGGCGCAGATTCGCGTGCGACGGCTGGTAATATTGTTGGTGACAAACACTGTGAAAAAGTGCATAAATTAACTGAATCAATATATGCGTGTGGAGCCGGTACGGCTGCAGATCTAGACCAAGTAAAGTTTCATTGTTAATAACATTATTGCTGAAAAGTTTTTACAGAGACTATCGCTGAAGGTTGTTTTTTCTTTGTTAAGGTGAGCTCTTTTTGTTCTTTCGCGGTAATTTTTATGAGTAGAACAATGTGTTTTTTCTGCATAAGAAAGCTCAGTGGGATATTGATAATGAAGCTTCTATTGGTTGCAATTGAGCTCAAAGTGTGAGCGTTTTTTGAATCGTATTTACTGAGTGTGTTATTTGCATTTTAGTCATCAGCCTTTGTTTGGCGTTATGGCATTTCTTTGTATATATGTATTTTTTACCAATTTCTTTCTTCACCTGACCGTTCAGGTTACCAAAATGCTTTCGTCACAAATGAGGCTTTTGGAGCTGAATAGTGAAAGGAAGGCACGGGTTATTACTGCAGTGAGGCGGGCTAAGCAACACTTATTCCAATACATGGGTTACATTGGTGCTTATCTTTTAATAGGTGGTGTTGATTCAACAGGAGCTCATCTTTACGAGGTGTTTACACTTATTTCATTTTCACCACTTTTTTGTTTGTTTTGTGAAAAATTTCGAGAGGACAGCAGATTGAAATGGAGTTTTTAAGATTACCAGAAAGACGAATAATTTTACGTGAAAAACCTTCATTTGTTGCAATCTAGTAAGAAACTGCCAGTTTGTATTTTTCTGCTAAGTCATTTCATAATGTTTACAGTGTTCTGCTAATGGAACAACAATGAGCAAACCTTATGCAGCCCAAGGATCTGGAAGTTATGCAGCTATTTCAGTTTTGGAAAGAGACTACCGTTTTGGGATGGAGGTGCCTAATTGCGCGTAATTCCAATTCATTTTCTATTTATGAATAACTTTTCAATCCAAATGTACTTTTTGGCCAATTTAATTCTTTTTAAATCACTGTAAATTTAGAAAGATGAGGCTTTAGAGCTTGTTCAGCGAGCTCTGTGTGCTGGCATGCATGGTGATAACGCTTCAGGAAATTCTTTGAATCTCGTCATTATAACGCCGGAGAACACAGTTTTTAAGGTTCTTCTATGTTTGCTAAATTTTTCAAAATTACATAAAATTTTTATTTGGGATTCATTTTTTGAATAATTTTTTAATTGCTGCGTCAAAAAATTGTTTAGAAACTAATTTAAGTTTTTAGGGACCCATAGTACCAGATTTCTGTGTAAGGCCTGAGCCAACCGACTTGGATTATAAATTCAAATGTGGCACAACAAAAGTTTTGAAGCAAAAAGAAATTAAGTACGACATTATTGAATCTATGGATATATCTCATTAAAGCCATGGTGAAATTCAATTATTTTGTTGTTACAGTGTTGCTGACGGTAAATTTGTTTGTTTTTGTGTTTGTGTGAAATTGGTGAGTGAGTTGGAAGAAGCCGGAGAGCCTTTTTAAGTTTTACTTGCTAAATTTTTCTTTTTTTCATTTATCGTCGCCCCTCCACATTATTTTTATCTTAGGAAGTTCGCCCGGACCAAAAAGTTTTTAGGAGACCTTTTGATCTCATCTGAGCTCCATATTCGTCGACCTGGTTTTACGCTACTGTTTTGGCGGAGGTTTACGAAAAAAAGCGTTTCTTTAGCTCATAAGTATAGTTCATTTGGTTCTTCTTGATTCTTGTTAAATCAAACGCTGGAGAACGCTATTTCAGTTGCACTAAAGTTAAAATAGGTTTATACTGTGGTGGATCTGGAAGAATTGTTTTACTTTTTAATGCTTAAATTCCATGTTAGTGTCCTGATGCAGGAGATTGGTTATAATATCTACATTTTGTTTTTAAATGAACTTGAGCCGTGTGGTAGAAAGACATGTGCAGTAATCCACCGTCATAAATTAAGTTTAAATGAAATGCATCATTGTGACATTGTGAAAGATCTGTTTTTATGAATCTTTCTGTTTAATTAATCACTCGTTGCTGTGAAGAAAGTAATTCTAGAATGTGCATGAGACCGGGACTGGAAAGTTTACTGCGATTTGTAGTCGTTGTTTGGATTCATGGGTTTAAGTTAGGCTGGACGTACAATCTTTAGAGTTTCTCAAAAGTGGCGCATTAATTCCAAATAAAATGCACCTAACTAGACGTTCAGACTAATCGCCCAACACTTAAATGAAGCACTTATTATTTGGATTCTTGGAGTAACGACGGGTCATGTGAATGTGCTTTAAAGCAGAAGACTACTTTTATATTTGGATTCTACACATCTAGATAACAAGCAAAATCGATCTTTAAATTGGAGTGCTAAACAGCGAAATGGTGGCAAAGTGGGGCAGCACGGAGTAATCATATCAGTCAGATGAGACCACAGAGTTTCCTCATGCTGTGCGATCAAGTTAAAAAATTGATTACGAAGGGACGATAGAAATAACACGAAAAGTAATAATCGAGTTAACGGTGTTGTCATTAAAAAAAATTAGTATATGAGAATAGCGAGGAAGTAACTATATCAGGTTCATCAAAACAATATAGATTCAAGACAGGCAACGGTATAACTACGGGACAAAATGAACTGTTGTGCGTCATAGTCTTTGGCAAATCTCATAATTTTTCAGACAGTAAAGACAGCGTAAACAAATCGTTTATATAAGTTGGGCACTTGTTGCAAAGCTGACTTGAAGTCATTTTTTCTTAGGGCGCCTTTAAAGTACAAGAAGGCGATGAAGAGTGGAATATATACAGAGAAATTGCGTTTTTGATGGGGCAAAAGTACGAAGGAGTATAAATGCGAGTCCGTGTGATCAAGCTCGTTATTAGGAGGAACAGCTGTGAGAAAGCACACGGAGTACTAAAATCATGTTACAGTTGAGGTATATAGCCTAAAATGATAAAGGCAGCGACAATTGAAGTGAATGACCATTAAATGATAAAAAAGAAATTAAGACTGACTCAAAATATAGAAAGAAAATACATAGTTCCAAGAGTAGATATTTACAAGCGCAATGATGCAAATAAGTTACGAAGCCTGAGAGCGGTCAAAGTTTAGGACCCTTTCTTAGTTGACGCCTACTGTTCGAAATTTTACTGTTCCAATTATGTCAGTTCTTTGAAATTATGTGAACGATAATTGAATGATAAAAATCAGTTTGAATACTAGATGAAGTCTTAGTTCTGCAGAACAACAGTGCTAGAGGAATGAAAATAAGATCATTCAGAACAAAAGGGGGGAAAAAATGGTGGTGATGGATTTCAGTGTATAGGCGACAGGTAAGCAAAACTTTGAGATTTCTTTAAACATGTCTCAAGACAATGATGAATTTGAAAAGTGAAGAGCCAATACTTTTACAGAAGAGTAACAAAAGACACACCTTGGAATAGAATAACAAACTTGTCACATACATTTAGTGGTACCAATTTAGAATACTGGTTTAGTTGAGAGCGCTACTGTTACCAAAATTTTAAGATTGCATTGTGGTAACTGCTGCCTCCAGCGAAGTATGTCTGAATTCTTTTGAATATCAACAAAACCTTGACCGAAAACCAACAGTTTGAAGCCATGAACTTCGCACTTTGCACTATCAGAAAAAGTTCAGCGGATTTCAAGGTTTTGTTGTCAAGATCTTTAGATTTTGTAATATTTAGCACCTTTAAAATTGTTAATGTTTGGAGATGCCAGTTCACAAAGCCACAGAAAACTCTAAATTTATATCCTTTAACAGCAGTATTCTGAAGAATAAAGACTGGGTAGTAACAAGGTGTTTATAGGAGATGACCGAAGACTGGCAGTCTACCAATAGTTCTAAAACGATTCCAAGTACATAATTCCTTTTGTTCTACATCTGTAAATAAATATGTATATATAGAAATATAGATATATAGATATAAGTTCACAAATCTGAATATAAATAAACAATATATATATAT